ATTATTTTTTTCATTCTCAATCTTCTACTCATTTTCAACTACATATTTTTTAATAAAATAATATTTTCCATCACATCAATAACTTTTCCTTCATTTTCAACCACATATTCCCCATCACATCACTACAAAAAAATACATTCTCTCATTTTAATATGTACCCAACAGGCTCTAAGTAAAACTTAGGCTCTTAATTATGAAATTTGCCCTTTTTAAAATTAATTTAAAATGCCCAACTGAATTTTATTCAATGGCATGTATTTGCATGGTTTATAATTGTGTTTTCTATAGGGTCAATTCAATTTATCAAATTCCAAAAGGAGAGTTGGTTTCTGTATAGGCGCAAAGCCGAATGATGCTATGGCTCGACTCAAGTAAAAATGGTTCGTGCCTTTTTTTGGTCCGAGCTGAGCCGAGCTTTTGTTCAGTCAAAAAATTTAGGTCGACCCGAGCTTTCGGCTCGGGTCTTGTCCAACCGAGCAAGATCAAGCCGAGCCGACTCACGAATTTTATTTTTATTATTTTTTTAATAGCAGGCAGCAGCTTGCTGCATGCCTGTGTTTTATTTTTAAAATTTTTAATTTTTTTCTTACTTATCACAGGCCAAAAATAGCCCGTGATATGAGCCGACCCTTGTGGCTAGTCGAGCCACACGGGTTGGCACGGGCTCGGTTCAACACCCCAAAATGGGGCTAGGCCAGCTCAGACTTTTCCTGAGTTGAGTCACGAGCCAACCCGAATCAACAAGCGAAATTAACACCCCTATGTGTATGTTATGTTTTCTCTATCAATCTCACAAATAATGTATTTTTGATTATTTGATGCTTTAGAAGCATTAGTCTCTTTGACTCGCAGGAGATGTCGAGAACTCATATTGATCATCCTCTGGGTGATGTAAGAGATACTCGTTGAAAGATTGTTTGGACTTCGTTGATTTAAAGATCATTTGAAGTTAATCAACTTTAAAAAGTTCCAATGCATTATAAATTGGCAAATTTGCATATGGAGTCTTGTTGTATACTCCAAACGACTAGTTGGATCTCTATTTTATTTTTCTAAGCAAGCGCTTTCTTCTTTCATTTTTGTAGTAAGTTGGTTCCTATAACACCAATGTTGGGCACATGATTAGCAATTTTATTTAAAATACAATTATACGCTCACATTCAAAATAATATTAATAAAAACGAGAAAAACAAAATTCAAATAATCAAGCATCAGATTATAGGGTTTTAGCTGAGCATCCCCTCATGTTTTTACTAAGGTGCACTCGATCTATTTATTGTAATTCTCAATTAATTTATACCTTCGACCGGAAGAGCCAAAGAAGAGAAGGAAGCTTTCTAGTTCTTACTTGAAGTATAGACTCGATGAAGTTTCACTCTAATATATAAAATATAACGATTTCCAATCAAAAAGTCACTTAAAGGGTAAAAAATGTCTACATAGTAAGTCTAGGGATGTCAACGAGTCGATCCAAGCTGGCTCGCGAGCCGAAACTCGAAGCACGGTCTCGATTCGAATAAAAATGGTTCGGACTTTTTTTGGCCTGAGCAGAGCCGAGTTTTTGCTCAACCAAAAATCTAGGCTTAACTAGAGCCTTCTGCTTGGGCCTAATCGAGCCTGCTCGTGTTTATTATTATTATAATATATATATGTGTTTAATAAGTAAAGTGCTTTAATCTTTATCCATCTTTTAAAATTATTTTAATAGTGACATTTAGGTTTTAATTAGTCCCGTAACATTAGTGCTTATTGCAAGTAGAGGAATTCAAAGATGCAGTCTGCTGCCTCTGCGTGGTGTAGAACCGAGCTGCGAGCAGGGCCGACTCAGGGTTTTCTCGAACCGCTGGAGCCGACGAACCACGTTGACATCCCTAAGTAAGTTTGTTCCAAAAGCATTCTCTCTTTATGCCACCCAATATGTCTACAAGTCTTCTGCATTTCTGTGTTTATTCCCTCATAAAATAACTCAAATGTAAAGATTCAAGAACTAACACGTGGAAAGAAAATTCAATGAATCAAAATCCAATAAAATATTCAGCAAAATCAAATAGTCCCAAGATAATCCTCTAATCATAAGAGTCGAAGATTGCATATGAGAAGTTGTATATCTCGCTAGTCGAGATGGACTGTGCTACACAAGGAATGAAAGCAATAACAAAGATAACAACCACCACTAGCATTTCAGCATTTTTTTCTAATGTGTTAGTTAGAGGTGTCAAGACGGACGGGCCGGCCATGACCCGTAAAAACCGGGACCGCGGGCCGACCCGTGACCCGTGCGGGCGGTTCACGGGCCAAGGAGGTGTAACCCGCGGGCTTCGCGGGTTGCACCCCCA